AAAAAAAAAAAAAAAAAAAAACATGAGTTAATGCATGTAAATTGCTTAGAATAATGTCTGACAAAGAAAACATGCTAATGGAGTTTTGTTTTACCTATACAAAGCAGGTCTGTTTGTAGTCCTGAGAGTGTTTAGGGGCAGTCCTGTCACCAGTTTCCTTTCCTCTCTCATCTTGATTCTCTAGCCTCACTGTTTCTCCCACAGTCTTGCACTTTGTATTTTCATCCCTGTGTTATTCAACCCAAACATTATTTTATACTGTCCAATTAGAACTCATTTTGTGTTTCTAGTTCTAATTACAGCCTCAGCCTTTTTTCTTTTAATTTTTTTATTTTTAAGGAAATAGGGTCTTGTTGTGTAGACACTATGGTTGTACCTGCCCACTGCCCAGGCTGGACAGGTGCAATCATAGTGTACTATGCTAGTACTATGCATAGTACTATGCATAGTGTACTAGCTAGGTTCAAGTGCTCCTCCTGCCTAACCTCCTCACTACCTGGGACTATAGGCATAGGCCACTGTGCCTCAGCCTTTTTGAGAACACCTTGCCTTTATGAAACTTGGCTTTCCCTAATGATTTCTTCTCCCTGGGAAGTCTCTTAAGTAACTCTTTAACATGGGATAGAAAGTGAAGTGGTCATTTTTCTTATTTATTACTCCTGACACCAGACTCTCGTTCTGCATTTGACCGACAAAAAGTTTCTCACATTTTTTACTTTTCTTGTTTTTAAGAAAATTTTTTTATCGTGTTAAAGTATGCATAACATAAAATTTACTGTTTTAACCATTTTTTAGTATATGGCTTGATGGCATTAAGTGCATTCATGTTGTACAACCATTGCTACTATGCATCTTCAGAACTTTCTCGTCATCCAAAACTAAAACTGTATCTATTAAATAATAACTCCAGTTTCTTCCTACTACTTCCCATCACCATTCTATTTTCTGTCTCTAAAATTGACTATTCTAGGCATCTCATATAAGTAGAACCACATAATATTTGCCCTTTTGTGATTGGCTTATTTCATTTAGCATCATATCTTCAAGGTTTACACATGCTGTAGCACGTGTCAGAATTTCATGTCTTTTTTTTTTTTTTTTGAGACAGAGCCTCAAGCTCTCCCCCTGGGTAGAGTGCCGTGGCATCACAGCTCACAGCAACCTCCAACTCCTGGGCTCAAGCGAGTCTCCTGCCTCAGCCTCCCAAGTAGCTGGGACCACAGGTGCCCGCCACAACGCCCAGCCATTTTTTGGTTGCAGCCATCATTGTTGTTTGGTGGGTCCGGGCTGGGGATTTGAACCCGCCACCTTAGGTGTATGTGGCTGGCGCCTTAGCCGCTTGAGCCATAGGCGCTGAGCCAGAATTTCATGTCTTTTTAAGACTGAAAAATATTTCACTGTGTACATGTACCATGTTTAGCTTATCCATTCATTTATTAATGGACATTTGGGTTATTTTTACCTTCAGGCTATTGTGAATAATGTCGCTGTGAACATTGATGTACAAATAATTTAGTTGAGTTCCTGTTTCATTTCTTCAGGTTACATAGGGTGGCCATAAAGTTCATGGGCAATTTAAAATAGTTGTCTTATTTTAAATTGCACTAACTATTTTAAACTGTACGCAAACTTTATGGCCATCCTGTATACTCAGGAGTGAAATTGCTGGGTTGTATGGTAATTTTATGTTTAATTTTTTTGGGGGGGGGCAGCTTTTGACTGGGGCTGGGTTTGAACCCACCACTTCCAGCATATGGGGCTGGCATATTTGATTCCTTTGAGTCACAGATGCCATCCAATTTTTTTTTAATTTTTTACTAATTTTAATTTGATAATCTTATGTCTAACCATTCCATTGCTTTGTACAGCAGCTACAGTGCTCAAAGGCTCCAATTTCTCCACATCCTTGCCAATAATTGCTATTTTCTGATTTATTGACAGTAGCCATCCTAATGGTTGTGAAATGGTGTCATTGTGGTTCTGATTTGCATCTCCCTATTGGTTAGTGATGTGGAGCATGTTTTTTATGTGTTTAACTGGCCATTTGCATACCTTTGGAGAAATGTCTGTTCAGTCCTTTGCCCATTTTTAAATCAAGTTGTTGTTGAGTTGTGGGAGTTCTTTATATATTCTGTATATTAATCCCTTATCATATATGTGATTTGCAGTTAATCTCCCATTTTGTGGATTGTCTTTCTAATCTCTTAATAATAGTGGCCTTTTATGTGCATAGTTTTAAATTTTGATTAAGCCCATAATTTTATATAGTTTTTTCTTTTGTTGCCTGTGCTTTTGATGTCATGTTCAAGAAATTGCAGAATTATATTATCATGGAGTGAGCTCTTCTTCTGTGTTCGCTTCCAAGAGTTTTATAATTTTGGCTTTTATATTTAGGTCTTTGTTCCATCTTTGTAGCTGGTGTAAGATAAGAGCCCAACTTTATTCTTTTGCATGTGGACATGCAGTTTTTCCCAGTACCATTGTTGAAAAGACTATTCTTTCCTCAATGAATGGTCTTCTTCTCCTTATCCAAAACTATTTGATTATTTTGTGTATCTGAGGATTTGTTTCTGGGCACTGTTCTATTTCATTAGTCTATATGCCTGTCATTTTGCCTTTGCGTTATTGTTTACAATAGCTTTGTAGTAAGTTTTGAAATGAGGAAGTGTAACCTCTCCATCTTTCTTCTTTTTGATTGCATTGGTTATTTATGGCCTCTTGATACTCTCTGAATTTCAAAGAGATTGCATTGAATTGTAACATTACTTTGGGTAATGTTCGTATCTTCCTTTTCTTTTTAAGTTTCTTTCTTTCTTTATTTATTTAGAGATAGAGTCTCACTTTGTCACCCTTGGTAGAGTGTCGTGGCATCATAGCTCATAGCAACCTCAGACTCATAGGCTCAGCAATTCTCTTGCCTCAGCCTCCCAAGTAGCTTGGACTACAGTTAC